CAACCTTTTTGACCAATGGGGCAGAAGGGCAGTGCTCAGACCAACTATGGGCCAGATCTGTCTGGTGTTTCTGATCCGGCACAGGGCGGTCACAGCAGGGCCCCATCCAGGCATGCTGAGTGGGGCAGAAGCCTGGATCCACGCTGGTCCCATGGTGAGGGTGGGGCATGGCCCAGCCCCTATTCTATCTTCAAGTCTCCTAGGCATCAGAACTTATTGAGCCGCTCTAAATTAGGTTTTATTTAATTCAATTCATTCATAAAACTCTTACGTTTCCTTATACCTTTTCTTCCTCCCTAACCCAAGAGGGTATTTGCACTGATAACTTTGAGTTACAAATCTCATGTTATATTCATGTGTTAGATGGCCTTGATATACCCAGAGAGAAGGTTGCATAGCTTGTAAAGGCAGTATAGATCTTACCATTATTTTATTTAGACCTCGTTTTCTCTGTTTTATATGCTGAAAGTAATGGACCATACAGGGTTTTCAAAAAGAAGTTTTCAAAATGAAATAATGAGAAAATGAACTTCTTTTTTCCTGTTTGATTTTCTTAGCTATCTGCTTTTGCAAGATTTTTTTTCTCTTTTATTACAAGTTCAAATTGGAGATGGTGATAATTCTGTAATTCTGTTTGCACACTGTAGTCATATTGATTGCATTGCAGTAAATGGATAAGAGAGAATCCAGATATTTGCATCTTAAGCATCTGGAACTGGCCACTTCTGAAAGCAGGATATTTAATTAGATATGCTAGCACTATATATTTCTATAGAATTTCTTATGAGAGTGAAAAAATTCTATCTCTTTTAAATAGAGAGCAGATAAGAGGTGTTTCACAATGTAAAAATCAACCACAATAGTCTCCTGTTAACATCATAGCATTTTCACTGGCAAGTCAAGCAGTATTTAATACCCCTATTATACTTAGAATTTATGCACACAAAATGTGAATTTTTAAAACATTTTATCTTATTGTATTTGAAGTCTTCTGTTTCTTTTGACTGTTTTTGTTGCTGACCACTGCTGTCTCATAGTGATTAACAAAATGTAATTAAGACTCTAATGTAATATATGTCACTGTTCTTTCCTTTTGTAATTGATAATTGTAGGGCTACATATTTCTTATTGATGCTTTTAAGAAATGAAGGAAATATTTACTCTTGCCAGATGAAATTATCTTTCAGAATGACTTCTCCCTCTATTTTATTTAATCTTTTTGTACAACTTATTAAATTTGCATGTTTTTATATAAAATGAGAGAAGTAGAGTTGATTTATCCCTTGGCTACTGCTGTTTCTTTGGAAATTGATGTTTCTGTAGTTTGTGTTATCCTGTAGATACCAATTCAATACAGTATTCCTCTGGAAGAAAAATAGTTAGAATTGCAACTGTCAGTTATACAAGGGAAAAGTCTTTAGAATGAATTTCTTAATAACACAAACAGCCTAGAATTTCTAGGCTAAGTTTGCACATTTAAAAAAAAAAGTTTTCTGATCTCTTTAATTTGCCCGTGTAACTAAGGAATTTTTGGAGTAAAAAGACTGAGTGTATGGTTTAATTACCTTCAAAACTCAAGTACAGGCAGTCCTTGGACTTACGACACAATTGGTTCCTGACAACCATGTCTTAAGTAGAAATGTTGTAACTCGGAGCCAATTTTCCTATAGGAAACAATGTTATAAATGCGGGATGGGTTCCTGAACCAAGGTCCAATACCCTATTTTCACCAAAAATAACCCAGAATGTTATACTCAATCAGTTATAGATGAGTAACACAACTACATTAATTTATTTATATTGTAAATAGCAATCATACTGATTTGGAAGGACTTCTTTGAGGTGACTTTACTGGACTTTTTGAAGTGTTCTTGGCTGGAGTCTTCTCAGGAGTCTTGGCTGCAGGTTTTTCTGAACTCTTTTCATCTTTCTCTTAAAGAAAGTGTCCAAGGAAGTTTGGATAGATGTTCTCCAGGGAGATGGGCAACACAGCAAACTTGTTTGCTGGCGTGACATCATGTCGGATCAAGCATTGTAAAGTCAAAACTGATGTCAGAAAGTTGAAACTGGCTGTCAATTTATAAACATTGTAAGGGCAAAATGTTGTAACTCGAAACATTATAAATCAAGGACTGCCTGTAATCCAGTTAGATTTTATATCACTTTCCTGAGTCACTATTGGGATAAAGATGCAAATTTTTTTGAACATTTTTTCCTTGTGTTTTTATGATGTAGGGGATGTTTTGTTCAACTTAAATGTAAACTTAACTGTATATTTCCACACTTTAGATTTTTTAAGTTTAATTTTAAGTTGGAATTTGCATAATTCTTTTACTTTTGAGAACTAAGGTATGTTTTTATTTTTGCCCTTCTTCAGTAAATGGTAAATTTATATCTCCTGATAGTTCAATTACGTTTGGCCTGGAAATTGCCTTTTTTTTAAAGACTTACTCAGAAGAGAGAAAATTGCAAGTGGTCCTGATACCCTAGAACAGTGGTTCGCAACCTTTTTGCTACCTGGACCCATTTGCAAAGGTTCATGGACTGTCCCGACTCACACCCCACTGACCCTGCCAGTTGATGACCCCCTCCTCCCCCCAGTCCATGCTGGTGTCCCTCATTCATAACCCACAGCCCTTGCCCCCACCCCCAGTCCTGCCAGTGTCCCTCACTCCCAGCCCGCAGCCCCTTGCCCCACCAGCTCTACTGGAGAGGCCCCCAGCTGCCCCCCTCCCGCTCAGGCTGGAGCATGGTGGTTGCTGCGACTCCAGCTCCATGCAAGTGGCAGCAGAGTGAGTCCAGCCCTGGCACAGGCTGGAGGGAGGAGGAGAGGAGGCCTGTGGCAGCCCCTTCCCTGGGCTGGGCCTGCCATGCTGTGCCAGGCAGCCTGGTCCCAGCCCCTCCTGCCTCCCAAGCAGCATCTCCTGTCCACCCCACCCCTTGAGCACCCACCCCGGCCTCACAGCTCTCCCCCACCCCCTTCCCTTGCTGGAAGGGGCAGGCGCCTTCCTGCTGCCCCTCTGTCCTTCGCAGTCTTGATGCTTTCCCAGGATCAAGGTTTCTCAACCCGTGGCTCATAACCCTCTGAAATCTTGCAACCTGCTTTTGGGTCGTGACCTACAGGTTGAGAAATGCTTCTCTAGAAGAGCTTAGCTGCACTAGATCCATTTAAACCCCAACTCTGCCTTCTTTGTGCACCTCCATTTATCATTCTACTGAACTATGGACATGGACTATCCTCAACGTAATGCCCCTGACAAAGACAGTTCAAAAGATTTGGGTTCTGGATCAGAAAGCTCGGTCATACCATAGTTAGCACTCATGTAAGAAAGAACTGCAAGACTTCCTGCCAAAAAAGCTCTATGTAACAGTTATTTTTACATTTTCCCCTTAAATCCATGTTGACAATCTGAGGTGCAGCCATAAGACATTCTTACTGTTGAGTCATCTAGCCACATTTTACTGGACAGTAAAACTATCCCAGAGTAAAAGCAGATACATAACAGAGCTCAGCAAATCTGGCTGTGATAGTGCCTGGCCACTAGGTGACAGTAGACCATTTGAACTGAGCAAATAGCGACCCTGGGATGAACCTAACTAGGGAACAGTTGATGCCTGATACCTCAGAGTAATTTACACTAACATTAGTGTATTACATACTCCTCCATGTTAGAGAATAACTTCACTTCAGAGTGGAGTGATTTACATCAAGTCCACTCTAAATTTAGCATAAAAACATACCTTATCAGGAAAAGTGTGTTTCTTTTACTGGTTTTGATTGAGACACCATAGCAGTCTTTCAATCTTTTTAATATGCTACTTTTTTACTGGTATTTATTCTGCATATTTCTTTAATATTCAGCTTTTTTATATACCTGTTGCATTTAATTCTGTATCTGACATTTTTACATAATTTTGTACCAATGAAAGGAATATAAAAGATGTCAGACTACTTGAAGGAGTCTGTTTGTACTTATTCAAAAGTTCTATTGTTAAGTTCCCAGTAGAATGATACAATTTGGGTATTTGACTTCTTCAAGTCAAAATGAATAATTATTATATTAATTTACAAAATAATAGGAATCAAGAAATTTGAAATGTTACTGGGCATGCTTCTGTGGTTATATACCATTCCAATTACTCTTTCTTTTCTGCTGAGAGAGAAAATGGTAGACTAATACTGTCTGTCTTCAGTTCTTGTATGATCCCCATCATCACTCTATGTACGAATCTCACAATTTAAAATTTACATAGCTTCACCACTCCTTGTGAAGTGAATAAATGTTCTTTTCCTTACTTTAGAGATGAAAAGTGGAGTCAGAGAATAAGTAATTTGCTAAAGGCTACATGGAAAATCTGTGGCAGGGCAAGTGTATAACCCATGTCTCCTACCTTCCAGATTGCACTCCAAGCACTTTCCTTCCCCTTCCATATCTTCGTCATAAACGAATGACTATGAAACATAGATCTGTATGGCAGCTGTGTTTCCTTTGTAAGTTTTTTTCTAGCATACCTCAGTGTATTAAAAGATTCTTTCTATATGAGCATTTTAACAGACTGTCACATCTTATGTTAGCCATTTTCTCTAACTCTTTTGTATGTAAGATTCAGTTAAAATATATAGAGATGATTAATTCAAGGAGATTTTAGTCAAATACAACTACTGGATACAGTCTGAAAAAACATTTATTTACTCATATATAAGGATTACATAATTTTTGCTGTCTACCATCTTCATAGTTTTATTGTCCTTTCCCTATTTCTCAACCAAAGCTGCTCTACTTATTTTTCCCCCAAAGCTCCATGTTGATCAAGTGTTATTTAATAACACTAATAAGTAGATGTGCAAGCACAACGAGGCTTTCACCAGAACATGGCATAGGAGAAGAAAAGAATGAATGACTTCATGCTTTTGAACTGACATGTTCAATGGATAATGTTTTATATCACATGTACAGATAAAGGAAATTTAGTTTAGTATGTCTCTTTGTCTCTTTCAGTTATTGCAATGGATGCATGTTAGATCCAAACTGTGGTCTCTGCTACAAACTGAATAAGTCAAGTGTTGTTGATTCCTCCTGTATTCCTGTTAGTCAAGAAACTACAATGAAAGCAGCTTGGGGCAGGTATGTCACTTAGAGCATGTATTCATAGTAGGTTTTGATAAAAGTTTTGATTTTGGCCATTGGGAGCATTTGTATTTTCACAAAAACACTATTCTTTAATCTCTTTCCAGAAAAGTAAATTCTTAGGATTGGTATTTTATCATTATTTAATTAGCATATGATATGTGTTTCCATTTCAAAAAAACTTTGCATATAAGCTTAATTTTTTCTGGAAAATAAGTGTTGTCCAGTGGTGAAGTCATGATGTGAAAATTAAATCAACCATCACATTTTTCTATTTTTATAATTATACTAATTATAAAAAATGTGAAAAACAGGTCCTCACTTTGTTTGAACTGATAACCTTAAAATACAGAAATCATTTAGATGTGGGCACCATGCAGATTAAGTGGCTGAAAAACAGCAGACACGTGTATATATGTATGTGTACCCAGCCCAGTTATGCCCTCAGAGAATCACCGAATCATAGAAAAACCAGGGTTGGAAGGAGATCATCTAGTCCAACCCCCTGCTCAAAGCAGGAGAAGCCCCAACTAGATCATCCCAACCAAAGATTTGTCTAGCCAGGTTTTGAAAACTTCCAAGGATGGAGCTTCCACCACCTCTCTGGGTAACCTGTTCCAGTGCTTTACTACCTTCCTAGTGAAACAATTCTTCCTAATATCTAACCTTTACTTCCCTTGCTGCAACTTGAGACTGTTGCTCCTTGTTCTGTCATCTGGCACTACTAAAAACAGTCTAGCTCCATTGTATTTTGAACCCCGCTTCAGGTAGTTGAAGCTTGCTATTAAGTCCCCTCTCAGTCTCCTCTTCTCCAGTGGAGGACAACAAAAATGGTGAGGGGGCCTGGGGCACATGACATAGGAGGAGAGGCCCCCTCACCATTTTTGTTGCCCTCCATTGTACTCTTTCCAATTTGTCCACATCCTTTCTGGGGTGGGGGGGGCGCAAAACTGAACATAGATGTAGCCTCACCAGTGCTGAACATAAGGGAATAATCACTTCCCTTGACCTACTGGCAACACTCTTACCAATGCAGCCTAGTATGCTGTTAGCCTTCTTGGCAACAAGGGAACACTGCTGGCTCATATTCAGCTTACTGTAACCCCCAAGTCCTTTTCTGCAGAGCTGCTGCCCAGCCAATCAGCCCCAGCCTGTACTGGTGCATGGGATTGTTCTGTCCTAAGTGCAGGACTTTGCACTTGTCTGTGTTGAACCTCATGAGATTTCTTTTGGCCCAAACCTCCAATTTATCTAGCTGACTCTGAATCATAGCCCTACCCTCCAGCGTATCTACTACTCCCCCCAGCTTGGTGTCATCTGCAAACTTGCTGAGGGTGCACTTTATGCCATCTTCCAGGTTGTTGATGAAGACATTGAACAAAACCAGGCCGAGGACTGACCCTGGGACACTCCACTTGATACTGGCTCCCAACTAGACGTTGACCCATTGTACAATTCTCGGAGCCCGATGCTCCAGCCAGTTTTCTATCCACCTTACAGTCCATCCATCCAGCCCATACTTCCTTAGCTTGCCTGCAAGAATGTTGTGAGACCATATCAAAAGTCTTGCTAAAATCAAGGTACACCACACCACCAGTCTGCCCACATCCATAGCCAGTCACTTCGTCATAGAAGGCAATCAGGTTGGTCAAAGCATGACTTGCCCCTAATGAATCCATGCTGACTGTTCCTAATCACCTTTTTCTCCTCCAATGCATAGAAATAGATTCCTTGAGGATACACTTCATGATTTCTCCAGGGATTGAGGTGAGGCTGACTGTTCCCTGGATCCTATTTTTTCTCTTTCATAAATATGGGCACTATGTATGCCTTTTTTCAACCATATGGGACCTCTCCACATTGCCATGAGTTTTCAAAAATGAAGGCCAGTGGCTCTACAGTCACATCAGCCAACTCCTTCAGCACCCTCAGCTGCACCCCATCCAGCCCCATGGACTTGTACATGTCCAGCTTTTCTAAAAAGTCTGTAGCCAATTCTTCCAGTACTGAGGTCTTCTCACCTCCTCCCCAAAGTCTGCTGCTGCCTACTGCAGTAGTCTGGGAGCTGACCTTGCCTGTGAAGACTGAGGTGAAATAGGCATTGAATACTTGAGCTTTTTATGCGTCCTCTGTCACAAAGTTGCCTCCCCCATTCAATAAGGGACCCTCACTTTCCCTGATCCTCCTTTTGCTACTGACATACTTGTAGAAACCCTTCTTGTTACCCTTCACATCCCTTACTAGCTGCAACTCCAATTGCACTTTGGCCTTCCTAACTTCATCCCCGAATGGCCGAGCAATGCTCTTATATTTTTCCCTAGTTCTGCCCAAGTTTCCACTTCTTATAAGCTTCCTTTTTATGATTTAGTTTTACTGAAGAGTTCCCTGCTAAGCTTGTCTTCTGCCATACTTGCTAGTTTTCCTGCACATTGGGATGGTTTGTTCCTGCACTTTCAGTAAGGTTTCTTTAAAGTACAGCTAGCTCTCCTGGACTCCTCTCCCCCTCAGACTGGCTTCCCAGGAGATCTTGCCCATGAGTTCCCTGAGTGAGTCAAAGTCTGCTTTTCTGAAGTCCAGGTCCTTACTTTGCTGCTCTCCATCCTTCCTTTCCTCAGGATCCTGAATGCAATCATCTCATGGTCACTGCTGCCCAAGTTGCCATCCACTACCACGTTTCCCACCAATTCATCCCTCTTTGTGAGCAGCAGGTCAAGAAGACCATGGCCCCTAGTTGGCTGCACCACCACTTGCATCCGGAAGTTGTCCCCAACACTCTCCAAAAACATCCTAAATTGGCCGTGCACTAGTGTATTGTCCTCCCAGCAAATGTCAGAGTGATTGATGTCCCCCATGAGAACCATGGCCTATGATCAGGAAACTTCCACTAGCTGTTTGAAGAAAGCCTCATCCACCACTTCCATCTGGTCTGGTGGTCTGTGGCAGACTGGAGGGGTGATGTGTAGGGGATGCACGCGGGTGCACATGCACCCCCTGAGTGTGGCGGTGTACCCCCTATAAAAAGGCGCCGCCGACATCATTGCTGGGTGATGCCTGAGGGCAGTCGCCGCTCGCCACCCCACTGCCGGCACCATTTGCAGGCAGTCTGTGATCGCTGCTGGTCACTGCTGACGGTGCCTGCGGGTGGTCGCCAACCCCTGGTCAGTGCTTGCCACCGCACCCCAGCTGCCGGTGGCATCTGCAGGAGCTCCATGCTTACCACAGTCACGCTTTCACCGCCACCTGCACAGCCATGCCCTCCCAGCTGCCAGGGGCATACATCATTCATGGCAGACCCCCCCACCACGACATCATCCTTGTTGCTTTTCCCTCTGACCCTAACCTAGAGACCCTCAACAGGCCTATCTCCCATTTCATACTGGAGCTCTGAGCAATCATACGGCTCTTTTACATAAAGTGCAACTCCTTCTCCTCTTTTCCCCTGCCTGTCCTTCCTGAATAGTTTGTGCCCAATATATGTAAGTTCTGCTGTTTAAACTATATGACAAACCTCTTGGATATACTATGAGGATTTACTGAATTCTTTCCTTTGAGAAGACAACCTCCTAGGTGCACCTGAAATTGCCCCTTATGTTTAAATTATTTCTTCAAAGCTCACTTTATTTAAAGATTTTACAATTAAAACCAAGCATGTAGGTTAAATCATTTAGTCTGAAATGTTAGGTTCATGGTATATGTGTATGAATATGTAAGTTCCCACATTTTTAAAGTGACACCATTCTATATCTTGAGTATGCTGACATAGAAGTGGCCAGTAAGGTATCACCTTTTACCATAACCTTTTAAATGGGTAGCACAGTATTTCCCTGCACTTAATATGAGAAATTCTAAGTGCAATTTACCAGATTTTATGGAGAGCAGAGTTTTTCAAGGCAATCCTTCCATGATACGATAATATGCTGTCACAAATTTACCAGCCTGAGTTTGAGTTGGTGTGAATCCCCAACTGAGTTATGTAGGTCATCTCAAAATGAGTACTGATAAAACCTTCCTAGGTCATCTGACTACGGTATGTTTCTTATGCCACGTATAATCTTTGGAAGTATTGTAGGATTTTCTTTTTAATGTTAAATTATTTTTTGTACTCTCAGACTTAACAAGCTTTAGCTACAGCTGACCTTACTGAACAGGCCTTAAAGGGAGTGAAACAATTAAACAAGCTAATAATAATAAATGTAAAACGAGTCTTTTCTCTACAATAAAATGTCATGTCCAGTCCCTCAGGCCTTTCTGTAAAAAGGTGGGTTATGCATATAGTTATTTATTTATTGATGGGAAACATCACTTCAGCTTTTCTTTACTTCCAAATTGTAACTTAATTTCATGCAGAATTCACACAAAATACATATGTTGTTAAAAATGCATCTAAAATGAAGTCTACAGAATCTTGGACTTTGTGAGAAATGCTGACTAGTTTGTAAACAGCTCCCATTGCATATGTCCAACACGTACCTTAGTCCCTACTGAGTGATGTTCTGATTTTCATGAAAGCTCCCTGAACACTCATATTCCTGTTTGTCAGATAACAGACCTTTCTTCGCAGGGAGGATCAACATTTGTTTAATATATTGTACATTTTAAGTACCAACTCTGCAGTTAAGGAAATGGTAATAGCATATAGTAAGACAGCAATGAAGATACAAACACATTACAAATGTATGGTAAATAAATCAAACCTATTAGCAGTTTTCTTGTTTAACTTGTGTTTGTACACATCTGTTCTCTTTCTATATTTATGATTCATTTTTCCATAGTACCTTTTCTATAAAATCTATTGAAGCAAATTCGATATGAAAGGGAAAATACTTCTTTTTCATAACAGAAGTTATTGTGAGGACTCTGTTCAAATCATTTCATAAGAACAAGGTTTATTATTACTTTGAAAATCTGGCCTGAGAGGAGAAAAAAAAAGCTGTAGTGCTCATATTAACTTGGTGCCATTACGCAGCCTGACAATCTGGGCTGTTGTGTATGGGGAA